AAAAAAAAAAAAAAAGAAATTTAGTCTAATCCCCCACAGATCGACGCCCCTGGACTGTCATGTTGTTCTGCCCGACAGCTGGGCGATGAATCAATTCCGAAACCGATTTCGAAACCGATTTCCCGGATTAATGCTACGAAAGAAAAGTTCCGACTCCTTTTTACGAAAACCAACGGTTACCGGTTACTTTCATCAATAAAACCTTTCTTTTTTTCCGATTTTATTTTTGAAAAATAAAAGTTGATGCTTCGTAGTGTTCCGAAATCAAGATTATTCTAAATCCTGAAGATGTTCGGAGCCAACCAGATAACCACCGGAAAAAATCACATCATTAGAAAGAAAGTAAATGGGTTCGGAGCATGGCGTTCTTTACTTAATAACGTACGCCATGGTTCGGAGTCGATTGAATCGATTCCCACGATTCCCAGCTTTCAATTAACGGGAAGCAAGGCGCCCAGCACTACACAGTTCTGCTGGGCGACACCAACATCCCAGGACCGCGCTAATGAAAAGTAACACTGCCGGCTGACTGGCAGTGGTGAATAGAAATAAAAGATAAATTACTTTTTCCTCAGTATAGAGATGTACAAAAGAAAGGGGGGGAAAGTTTACCCCACACATATATAATTCTAGCCCAAGAGTGAGTCGTGAAAGAAACCTGAACATAAAAAAGGAGTAAAATACTAGTATGAGTTTCTGTTCGTTTTCTTCTGTTTATTTTTTGTTTGTTGTTGTTGGGGGGGTTGGGGGTTGTTTGTTTGTTTGTTTGTTTGTTTGTTTGTTTTTGGGGGGACTCCCACTTCTGCATTTCATAATCACAAATCGTACAACAGAAAAGAACTCTCAAGGGTTGACAACAATAATCAACAATAATGTACAAACATGTGTCGTATACATCCGCCTTCACATTACCCACTACGCAATTTGATCTAGATCTAGATTACTGTGCCGTTGTAAACAACAACGAAATGCGTACTTCCGTGTGTTGTTTTTGTTACTACGTCATGGAAGATCTAATGCCCCTCTAGAGCCCAGAATTTGCCACTTTGGAAGATATTTACGGAGTTCTCGGTTTTTCTCGAATCCGAGGGACACATTATGAGACTACATGTACTAAGAAAAAACCCGGAGGTAATTCGAATAATAGCTCTGACTTCCGCGTAATGTGTGTACTGTATAAAATTTAAAAAACACGGACCCCCCTCCCCCTCCCCCAAACAAAACAACTCTCTGTATTATAAAGGACAACGAGGAAATTCCGTGAGCTGTGTGAAAGGGGGCATCATCATCCTTGTTTGGCATGGTACATCGCTACCTTAGCTTAGAATTATAAAGTTCTATCTGACAGTTTTGGCTGTTTTGGGGTTGGGTGGGGGTTTTTTTGCGTGTTTTTTTTTTGTGTGTGTGTGCGCGTAATGGGTACTAAGACCATGAGGTCAGGAACCAAATGTTTCATTTCCTCTATCAAAATCGTAAGATTATTCGGATTCGATATATATCAAAAGTCAAAGTACTGCATTTAAAAAAAAGCTTGACATTTTGAAATATTGTGATAGAAATCTACTCACAATTTTTTACGACAAATTTCTCAAAATTAGTTACTGAGCAGATAGCACTTTGTAATTCTAGGTAAGCGACACGCACGAACTGAACTATAAGAAGTGAGACAAACTGAGATAATGGCGAGATGAACCGAGACGAATTGAGCTGATGGTGGGACAAAATATGAGCTTATGTTGAGACGAATTGAGCCAACGGTGAGACGAATTGAGCTGATGTTGAGACGAACTGAACCAAAGGTGAGTCTTATCTTGCTGTTGCTAGTAATGCTAGAGGTTACTTTCAAAGACAGAGATAGCTTGACAAAGATTCTCAGCTGATATCAGGATAAAGTTAAATAACTCTAATAAAATATTTTAAATAGGATTGTAAAATTATGTTTCATGGGCCCATCGACACATTATTAAAGATGATTTAATACGTTTATGATCCAAAGAAAGTGAACAGCTACGATCCACCCTGTGCTGTCAGATGAAATCTGGACAGTATGGGATACTTACTACAAGTACTACTTTATGTATATATCATGTAAGAGCAGGTTACTGAGGTATCATAATATATAAATTCCATCGGCACGACGAACAATACTGGCCATTGAGTGCAAGGAAAAAGTGAGAAAGAGATCGTTTTAAAAACCGAAAGGAAAGAAACGAAGAAAGACGCAGCAGCATTGGCGCCCTCTGACCACCCGTACAGCCGGTCTTACTCGAAGTGTACCCCGTAACTAGAGATAGTTCACAAAAATGACATCAGCTAAGAGCGAGTG